CAGGAAATACATTAGGACCATTGCTATCGTTTACATTCATCAAAATTGTCTATATAAATTATATGTGTATATATTATTTTTTAAGCATTAGTTATTTCTTTTCATTCTTTTGTTTTAGTAACTGTTTTATAATTCATTAGTATCTAAATAGGGGCAGCACGGTGGCGCAGTGGTTCACTGGTTCGAGCCCAGCTGGCTCAGTTGGCATTTCTGTGTGGAGTGTGCATGTTCTCCCCATGTTGGTGTGGGTTTCCTCCGGGTGCTCCGGTTTCCCCCACAAGTCCAAAAACATGTTGTTTTGATGAATTGGGTAAGCTAAAATTGGCCGTAGTGTATAAGTGTGTGTAAATAAGTGTGTATGGATCTTTCCCAGTTATGGGTTGCAGCTGGAAAGGCATCCGCATATAAAACATATGTTGGATAAGGTGCGGAGCATTCCGCTCTGGCGACCACAGATTATTAAAGGGACTAAGCGAAAAATAAAAAGAATGAATAAATGAATGATCATCTAAAAAGTATGTGTTTGTTAGACACATTTTTATTTATTGTAATGAACATTTATATTATTTATTTGAATATTTTATTTACTGTTTTATAAAAGAATAATATTTATTTGACTCCAAATCAAGTCAAATCAAATCAAATGAACGCCCTTCATCAATAACATGTTGTCAAGCTTTCTGTATCAGTAAGCTATTTGAATTTTTACAAAATCTAAAAATAATTTGATTTGTGTTGCCAATAAAATAAATGTTAGGCTAATCAGTGGTATATAGTGGTAAATAAGGTATTGTCCCAAATAAAAAGGGGAAGTTATATACTTTAGGCCTTTACCCAAACTAATCCAGTCATTGGTCAGAGTAATTTTCCACTGATCTGTCTAACTACATTACCCATAATGCACGAGCGCAGCTCTTGCGTATTTCATCCCAGACCAGTACGCATGCGCAGTTCTTTTGACCTACACAGTCGCAGGAGAAAATGGCAGCGCTTGGAGTGGGGCTGCAGGTATGACTTTCTGAAAACCTTGTACTCGCTTTATAGAAAATCAACAAATGTGTGCCTTTTTATTCATAACACTATGTAAACAGTAAGAATTGTAAATATTTGAGTGGTTGGAACGAACGTGATATGTCTGGAAACTGAGCGAGGCCTTGACAGGCAGTGTCGAATCCGCAACAGACAGTCATTCAAACCGTGCGCTCTTGTAGTTCGTTACATAGTAAATAATGTTAATTTGCGTATCACCCTTTCAATTGAAAGCCTTTATTTACTTGTTTGTAAAGTACAATGATCACCAAATGAGTTTTTGCTTCTCAATGCTCAATCTGGAGTATGCAGCGCTCAAAATGTGACTGAACATGCGTTTTAAACTCTCTAACGTTATATCATGCAGTGTAGTGGCTTTTGTGACGCAGTGAGTCATGGACCATATATCTATATTCATGATTTTACAGTTTGCAATACTTGATAAATCTGCAAATAATTGTTTTCCTCTTCCTGCAGGTGCGTCAGTTCAGCACCTCAGTGATCCGACCAGCAGCAAAACTCATCAAGGTAAATAATAACATATTCAAATGTGTCATTCTCACAAAATTAATATTAAATACCAGGTAGGCGTGGGCCGGTATAAGATTCTGATGGTATATTAACCTCGGATAAAAATATCACGGTTACACAATATTGGGGTTACTGCTAGATCATTGACTTCTGTTGTCTTCATTAGGTTTCAAAACAAATTTCATTGCAGTTTAAAATGGCATCTTGCATATCTTTTCTGCTGGAGTTATTGTTGTCCTAAAAACTAAAACAAAAAAAAAATGTACATTTAAAAATCTGATATATACCATAGGAATGGTATAGCAGAAAATTTGGTCGGTTTTAAAACCTTGACTTTTCCAAACCATGGTATACCTTGAAAACGGTTATCTTCCCATGTCTAATATCTG